TGTAGTGTAAGGGCACTTGGTCCAACACTGAGTTACCTTTGGACATGCACTAGTGGATGGCTAAAGAAAAATAAGTCCTCAAGGTCATGACACACAACGTGCAATCACACCTCCTCGCCACCTCCTCCTGAATGACTCAGCATCCACATGAGTCAACAGACTGGCACTGCAAAGATCGTGACTCTTAACAAGTTTAGGCTGTATTGAGCAGTAAAATCATGTGATCAGCACACCCACTTGTTTTGAATGTCATCTCACTTCTTTACATGTGTCAGTGTCGTATTACCAAGACATACAGTAGTTTACAGTAGCTAACAACACAATGATCTTGTGAGCAAAAATTTGTTTTAGGACTCACCGCTACATTAAATCGCTTGAAAAATGTTTTACACTGTAAAAAGATATGTCCCCTTCTAAAACTTACAAGAACAATGGGTCAAATCTGGGTGCTTGAGAATTAACTGCTTCATAATTAACTTCTATTGTTGGATTTCAATGCATACAAAATGGTATTTGAAAATCTCATTGTTCACCACAGAATTCTTATCAGGTTTATTTTAGAACAAGTAAAATTCTGATAGGGTTTGAGATAATTTCACTTGTCTCCACAGCAAATCAACTTTCGACTAGAGTATTTTTAGAATCAGTTGAGGAACTAATATGTTTTCTTGATGGATTTTAATCACAAATATTCCATGAATGTGAGTTAAGAGGTTAGTCAGCTATTAAGGTGAAACTTATTTGGCTATAGCTGCCTAATGATCCTGTTATTAGTTGCATGCATTTGCACCCATGCTTCCTCTTACCTCTCATGAAAAAGAAGAATAAAACAATGGTTCTTCTTTCTGTCCACATTATGATGAAACTTGAATGATCTCCACAGGGGCATTCAGATTTATGTAACATATGTAACAATGTGTAGGAGTTTCCGTTCAGTACAAATATAATGCATGTAAAATACTAGGGATGCACCATCCATACTGATGCCTAGGCTTTGGGTATCTGACACCAGTCTAAAATGCGCATCTACCATTACAAGTGTAACGTAGTTCACAGCTGTTGTAATTAAGGACAGTTGTACACGTGCATTTTTTATGATTATATTACATAAAACACTAGCAAGTAGACAACTTTGCTAATACAGCCAAACATCAAGCAAGTGAGACAACACAAGACAAAGCAATATTACCTACTAGTCCAACAGTAAGAATGCCAGCTTGGCGTCTGTCTTGCAGCTTTTTATTTCATGAAACTCTCGCCTACATCCAGGAGCCTCTTGCTTGGTCACTCTCTGTTCTCTTAGCTTCCTCCATCAACATCCTCTTTATTCTCTTCGCCTCTGCCATTAATTACTTTTCTAAAACGGTAGTATTATTACTAGTTACTAAGGCAAGTAACGCTGCGTTACTCGTTACTGAACGCACCATCCATGATGTAAATCCACGACTGTGCGACAGCTCAGCTGGACCGAACTTTGTTGTTTATGTCCGCTGATAGCCAAAAACTAAAGGAAGAAAGGAGAACGAGGGAGAGAGGCGTTCTCTCCACAGCTGTAAGTAATGCCATTATCGTATCACAGTCTAAGATGCAAAGAACACTGTCTGTTGTAAACTCTGTGCGACCAGCAAAAAGCTTTCAACCGCTGATTTATTGAAGCATCTGCTGAAGCAGCACAGCAACATGAAACTTACAGAAGGAAACTCCTGCAGCTTCTGTCACTGATGCGTGGACTTATGGGAGAGAGTGGCGTTAACTTTTTGTAACTACTGAATACTGCTCTTACAAATAGGCTACATGTGCAGTAAAACCGCCGTTTAAAAGTCAGGATTTACTTGCTGTATTTTTTTTATTAAGAAACGTTAGGCCTATATGCTTTGTAAAAAACATACTCCTTGCTGCTTTTATGAATATGATATGTTAAAAAGTCGGGAGAGACTACTTTGTTTGGGGGTGAGGGGTAGCGAAAGCAGTGTTTCCCATATTTAGCCTATAATTTGGATAATCATTAACGTGGACCGCCACATATTGCTTAAGGAGCTGTATTGAAGAGCATTCCTGCAGCCCCCCAACCCCCGTCATTCTCTGGGAAACACAGGAAAGTAACTAGTAACGTAACTACTTACTTTTATCACCTAGTAATAAGTAAAGTAAAAATATTACTTTTTAAAGGAGTAATAGTAATATATTACAATTCTGAGTAACTTGCTTGACACTAAACATCCGGCGCAAGAGCCTTCCTCTTCAGTCTCTTCACAGCCTCGACCATTATAATCATATAATCTAAAATTTCTTAGCTTGTTTGCTTAAGGGTGTTGTTGGTGTGATGTGGTGCTGTAAAGCATTACAGTGACATTTACACCATTCTCGTATTACATGTTAGCATGACATCAAAATGATTTTGAAGCTGTTCTTTTAAGATAAAAATGCTACACAATCTTGCTTTAAATAAAAACTGCATCAACTGCATGCTTATGTATCAGATATGTAATTTTCAGACACAACTCAAATAGTGCCCAAAGTCGCAGTTGGACTGACGTGCCTTGACATGCCCTGTGTCATTTGCTACAAAATGATAAAATACATATTTTTATTGTTTACTCTCTCTCCCGCAGGCAGGGGTGGAAAAAGAGTACTAGAATATTTTACACAAGTACTGAAGTAGGTAGCTTACAAGTAAAATGACTAAGATAAAATTAAAGAGTAGGTCTGTTAAAATCTAAGCTCCTTAGAGAAAATGTTACTGTGTTACATTTTTAAAAGGGAGAATAATGGAATAAATAAAAGAAAAAATGTATATGATCATGTAATGATAAATATAGACCTATTAAACTGAAGAACACATTTAGGCTACAAATTAAAGTGTATTAACATGGTGTACATACAACTGAATCCACCTTCCTAGGTGTAGCCATACTGAAATTAACCAGAAGGGAAGACCACTCAAGACTATAATCCAACCAACAATCAACAAAAACAACTGGACACCACAGCTGGGTGCAACAATCATTATTACCACATAGATTAAATGGCCTGACAGCAGAATAAAACATCACTAAAGCAGATATCAGCAGAGATGCGATTTACAGCAGTAAAGAGAGCTGCATAGTTTTTGCACAACATGTACTGTACTGCAAACACGCACACAATAGCTAGCATTCCTTTATCTGTACACTGTTTGTAGTTGTACTCATCTGAATGTCATTTTGTAGGTAAAAGTTTCTCAGTGAACGCAGAAATAATGGCTGGGGGACCCACTTATTTTTGAATATTTGTTGAGCATGCACCTGTTGGTCAGGCAACATCACGGGTTTGTTTGATTTGTTTCACTTAGTACCACTCGGGCGCGTGCTGCATTAAACCAGTGATTAATTAGTCCCCTTTCTTCTGTTCCTTTACGCAAGAAGCTATCAAGTAAAATTACTCACAAAGTACAAGTAGGCCTACACAAACAAGAAACAGCAAATGTAAGAATATTTGTTTGTTTTTTTTGTTAAAGAAAAGACTTACTATCAATCCTCAGACCCCGGTCAAGCCATCAGACCAAAGAATGAAGCTTTTACGAGCTGTTGTCATCAAGCACAAAGTGATATTTACTGCACAAAGATGCTGTGCTCTTCCTTACTGAAAGCAACCAGCACACATCTTTTAATGTGATAAAAGCTCCGATAAAGAATTGCAGTGATGTGAACAGAGTAAGGTGATGCAGGACATGAGAAAACATGTGTCATTTTGTCTTTTTAGAGGACAATGAAATTATTTTCAAAAACATTGTTGCACTCAGCTCAGTGGGTTTAAATCATAGTGCAGTGCTACTTTACGCTTGAGGCATTTCAGTGTTTCCTCGATTGCAGAAAAGCCTCACAAATAAAATCACCAAACCTTATCCTGCAAACACAAATACACAGGACACTGACTTGAAAAGAATACTTTTATTTTGGTTATATATAACTTCTTATATACACAAATGAATGCTTATTCAAGTTATCTACTGCTGTCTGTATAAATGGATCTTTACCATTAATATAGCTAGAGAGGAGGAGAATGGGATGTTGTGCAGATACAAAATACACAGATATACAGTTACAGTAAAAATGCTATTAGGATAGCCAACATTCATGCACGAGAGCTGTTATCCTTGGGCTTACAGAAAGTACTGCACTGAATAAGGCATACAAACTGTTGCTGAAGATACAAAAAAGCTAATATCTCAAAGTACTAAGTTAAAGGCAACCAGATATGCTGCTTGCTGAAGTACTTTGACTTAGTACTTCAAGATACCCTATGACCTGGATGATTGAGAATCTTCATAGACAAATACAGTAACTATACAGGTGCACTATGGTTCACCCCATTTCTCATTGTCTTGTACAAGGTCAAGTGCAAAAACTTTTGAAAGGAAAAGTACAAAGACAAATTGAAAGCTAAATGCAGGCAGTGAGAGGCCGGAATAAATTAGCAGATGACAATGAATAAAAGGCGAAGGAAAAGAATGGAAACAAAATGAACAATTAGTGAACAGAGTCAAAATATGAATAAATTAGGGGGCATGAATAAAGGCAATACTGAATCAGAAAAACCATTTTAAATATGAAGACTTCATTTCGGAAAAGCTCTCATTTTGGAGGGAAAAAGGAGCTGCAGAAGTTATAGGACATTCACTGTTCAGTGTTTCTAAAAATTGCTAATTGAAAGTGCCATTATGTTGTTAAAAAGATGTTACCTGCATACCTCCATAATGCACCGAATTTGTTTTTATTTTGTTGTTATTGTTTTTATGGAGAAAGGGTCCCGTTTCCACATGGAGAATCCCTCAACATGAAAACAGGCAAAGGGCAAGATGTAAATAATTACAGTTGTGTATAATGCCCAAACGTAATCAGGGAAATTAAGGACATAAATAAATACATAAATAAATAAACAAATAAATAAAATTAGAACATTCAAGCGCAACCATCCATTTTTCCCATGTTTTTATAATTTCTTTCTTGTGTACAGTAGGCTTAAGAGTCGTCCTCAGTTTTAATGATGTGGAAAAGTGTAACATTAAACAGGACCTGATGGCCGTTGTTCCAGCCATAGAGGGCGCGATCCCTGGCGTTGTAGTCCAGCATAGACATGTGGAAGTACTGGTTATGAAAGGGAATGTCTGTATACTCATATGTGGAGGTTTTAGTGGAGTAAGCATAGTAGACCTTGGCGCCGGTCAGGTGGGAGTTAGTGATGTAGAGCGTCCCACAGATCATAAAAGACTCGCCGGCATTCCTCTTTGAGTATTCTGTGTTCCATGTGTTGAGGATCTGGAGCGTGTCCGGGTTCAGCTGGCTGATGACGATGTTCCCGGCGTTCTGGTTGGTCGCGTACACGGCCCACAGGCCTAGCTCGTCCGCCATCAGGTCGATGTCGGAGAAGCCTCCCCAGGTGTAGGGGTACACGTTGTGGAAGCCTGCAGACTCTAGAGCCCTCTGGGTGACCACGCGGCCTGTCTCAAAGCTGTACCTCACTATAATGTTGCTCTGCATCTTGTTGTAGTACAGAGAGCCGTTGTACACCACGTGGTTGGTTCCAGCCCATTTGAAAGGCAGGTTGTAGGTTCTCGACTCGACTCCTGACACAAAATCGGCGATGGATTTATATTCTTTCACAATCTTGTTGTTGGTGTAGCTGTCCATGTACCAGACCTGAGGACAAATAAATACAACCATTGCTGTGATGTTTACTCACAAGAAACTGTGGCAGCTGTAAATTTACAAACACTAATATCTTTACCCAGCAGTCATGGGTGAAATTTTATAAAGCCTAACCACCTGTAAAACAAAAATGTCAATATATGGAAACAGGGCATTCACTAAAAAAGAGTCTGACAGAACACAGGAGCTCCATAAAATGGTAAATAAAAAAAGCCAGCGGCCAGACATTTGTTGGAGGCCGAACGTTCAATCATGGACTTTTATTCTCTTTATTGGTATTGATAAGGTCAAACGGGAACTGAAGGAGGGCAACGTTAACTACCTGAGGAAACAGGTAGTTAAATCTTTTTGGATTTATATCTCAGAATGCTGCATCCGAGTGGGATGAATAAGGATTTTAGTGTGTGAGTTTTAGAGTTATTTAATGAAAGAGAGTAAAGAGAGTTTTGTAGTTTTTTGTAGGTTTTTCTGATATTTACTAAGGTGTTTAAGATCCGCTGTGCCGTTTTTTGACCACTAGTCAACTGTTGGTATGGAGAAATGTATTGATAAGTAAGCCAGGCCAGTCTCTGTCATGTTTGCATGTTTTTGTTTGCACCTGTTTTTATCTGTGTGTGTTTGTGTACATGCAGGCGGTTGACACAATACAAAATCCTGCTCCATGCTATTAAACTGAATGGCAGTGGATGGTGGTAATAGCCAAGACACGGAGCAAAGTGTCAGCAAAAGGCAGGCAGGAAGAAGAATAATGCTAGTTAGAGTTAGTGAGATCGCACACATGTATGTAAACAAAGGAATTTTCTAAACTTTGTATCAAAAAAATGTATCACAAAAAAGAAAATGTTCAAAGCAAGGAGAAAGGTTACGTTAAAAGTCTTTATATACTCATACTCAAATATTTATGCTACTCATACATTTGTGTTTCTCTCTTACCTTCCCTCTCTATTCCACTTCTTGCGCTTTCTTCGCAATCAACTGATCAGCCAATAATATCTTTGCTGTCAAACTTTAAATCTGTTTTCCTCTCAGTGTCTAGACTTTATCAGGACTCAAGGCTTCACTCCCCCCTTAAACATATGATGGTCATAATGATCACAATAAGGTCTAATTGCCAAAGACTATTCACATTTCTCATCTGTATTCACTCTTAATGAAGTCAAAGTGTTATCCCCGAACAAATAATATTTTCTGTGACTAGTTTTTCCAGCTTTAACAGCAACTTCATCTTGGATTTACTGAGTGTAAAGTAATTTCTCTGACCCTATTCTGAGATTGTATGTGTGGCAGTTTTTACTTTTTAAGTAACCGTTTATTGTGTACTTTTATTTTGCTTTTTACTTTTATTATTAATGTGTCTAGTGCTCACTGGATAATTGATAAAGCCTCAGTAGGGCTGGACGATATGGCCAAAAATGTTATCACGATAAAAAGTTTAATATCTTTCGATATCGATAATTATCACGATAAGTATCAAATAGTTTTTTCTTTTAAGTTTAAAGGCTGATTTTTGCTCCTGAGTGAAAGTTGAAGAAACTGAAATGGTTAATTGTGGTTTAAACTTTTCTTTATGGTCAACACTTGATGCCAAACAGTGGATCACATCACAAATCTGAGATAGAACAGTCAAAATATTTATGATAAAATCTTTGTCAACAAATATCTTTAAGTAAAATTAAGGAAAACCTTTTTCAGTCCTTTTTCCTCAACAGAATAAACATCTTAATCAGAAAAATTAAGTCCTATTTTGTGTATGATTCAAGTGAATATTGAATATTTATTGAACATTTGTTATGTTGTTATTGTTTTATTGTCCAGCTCTAAGCCTCAGTCATCTTGTGGTGAATATAAAGGCTGCGCTTTTACCCATTCTGTAAAACATGCTGATGAAGGCCAAAACACTTTAGGGAGAAAAAGTGCAAAGTCGTCCAGTAAATCACTTAGTGTTGTGTTATTTTTCACATTCAGTTAAAAGAATCCAACTATGGAACTGCTTCATGTCCACCAGGACATCAGGTTTTATGTTTGATCTCAGCAGTCAAGTGTACAAAAAAAGTTTTTGTGAGTATGATGTTGTAATTCAACGGCATCTGTCCCCACTGAACAACAGGAGGGAAGCAGTTGTGTGTGTATCATTAAACTGCTCGCTGTAGCTTCAAAGGCTTGCTACATACAGCAAAAGCACATTAACTTGGCTCACCCTGTTGTTTTTGGGAGACGCCTGTGGGTCGGTCATCCAGGCTCCGAATCTGGTCCCTGAAGTTTTCACTGTCAGCGGCCCAGTGATCTTCATTAACTTGCCACATGCTGTGAACACATCACAAAGCCCCATGTCACATACAGCACAAACTGCATCAGCTCCACATAATAAAACTGCAGCCAATGTTACAGTGGTAATGTTGGAATAAATCTCAAAGCACTGGCTTGCTGAAATCTGGTAGTGGCTCCTTTTTTTTCTCCAAAAAATGGATAAACAAAAAAGTTCTAGATCTGGACTGTTCACCATCTGGACACTAGCACATGATTTTCTCTGCTGTTATAGAAATACAGAGAATAACCAGAGAAGCTGACACAGTACAACAACTAGTAAAACCTCTTCCTATTCTATGTGTCAGAGCACGGTGAACATTTATCCCACATGGTTTAATATTTGAAGTACTTGAGCTGCACTTAATTCATCTTGCCAGACACTTTAATTGTGCCAAATGACAGTAGGCTATCACTTGCACGCAAGCTTGCGAGTTCCCTATTAAGTATTTAACTGCTATTTTACCTAATCAATCAAAGCTCATGCACAATGAATGCTTAAGTAATCATCTCGAGCTCAGACAGATTTCCAGCCACATCCCATTAGCATTCACATGTTAGCTCTTTACGTTGACACCTTGACAGGCTCCATCAGGGTTGATACCCTGGCAGTTGGCAAATTGGAGTTTATTCATGCAAACCTTTATCAAAGGCAAAGCTGCTCTGGAGGCAGAATTGATCTTATTAGCTGAGTTAAACCTCAATGGGTGGAGCAAAGGGACCAAAGCTTTTTAGTGTCAAACTGCAAAGGGCAGAAAATCAACCAGGATTAAATAAAAAAAATACATACATCTAAAACAAACTTATCAATATCGATTTTGTATAAGCACTTTTTAAACTAGCAGCCGAGTACAAAAGCTTCATGATGCAACCACCTTTTTACCTCCAGCTTTGGGAAATTGTTCATTGACTGCAAATAGAGGGTGTTCTCAAGCCACAACATTATTTGTGCCTCCAGTAGCAGCTCTACTCTGTCCCCTGCTCTGTATCTAAAATGCCAATCTGCTGGTAGCTGCAAGAAATGTGCCTATAATCCCTCTGCCACAGGACAATCTTGGGTCACCATGCCCAGATCTACTTTTTTTGCTATGGACTTACTGAGTTTGTTCATACAGTTGCGAAGCCGATTTTCCAGGTTTAGGACCCTCTGTTGCAGCTCCTCGTAGTCGTAGGCGCCCATTTCCTCCTGGATGCCCATCAATACGCCAGACAGGTTCCTGATCTCCTCTTTGAACTGGGAGATGAGCTTGGCATCTGTCTTGTATTGCTCCAGGACAGGGATCAGCGGCTGCAGGGACTCCATCTTTCCCTTTAGCTCCTAGAAAAACACCAAGAATGCACCACTGCAAAAATACCTGTCTTAACAAAATCCCTGGAAAGACAGTTCAGTTTATTTCAAATGCAGCTGTTTCAGGGGATTTACATTTCAGGATTAACATTATGAACTAAGGCAGAATATGCAGAGAAGCACATTATCTCCTCCCTTTGGCACTTGTTTTCACTTGTATAGGAAAATTAGGATTCTAAGACTCAATATCTAGAGATAGGCAGATCAATGTCAAATTTGGAACTGCGACAACTGCATCTTAAATTAATGGGTTGATACTTGATCCCTCCTCTGTTTTGAACAAAATGCAGATTATTTTTTCAGTATAATTAGTTTTTCTCGCATTTTAAGTAGAAAAAGAAAAAGCTCTAGTAATACCTAAACAAATTCACTGGTGTATATAGTAATTGCTCTTATTATTATTTGTTATGTAATGTCTGTATCAATAAGACAATGTCAATGCATATGTAAATCCTCTCTCTTCTCTGAAAATATATAATATAATATAAGTTCTTCTCCGTGAGAAGTATTAATATCAGCCATACCTGCCATAGTATTATTATTATGGTTATTCAAACATTGATGTATTGCCCATCTCTACCAATAAACTGTTGTCTTTTTTTTTTACATGCATCACTGCTGTTTTGTAAGGGTTAAGCAAATGGTTAATGGAAATGCTTCATGTAAACATCAGGATCATGTCACTCTCACTGATGAAAGCATTTCAGCATCATCCACCATGAAAGAATACATGCTGGATGATGCTTTCACAGCCTTTCTAGCTTTTTAAGACAATTTTGTCCTTGGCCAGGGAGTGGTAGATCTGTATTGATCTTATCAGCAATGAAAGTTTATCACTTCAGATGCTTCTCAGGTATCTTTAGAGGAGATCCTTTCACAGATTTTTCCCTGTGATGCTTCTCACAAAGTTAAATATCAAACAAAAAATATACCTGAAAGTTTTTGTTGACGACCGTCTTCCTGTCCGATTCGATCTGTCGGAACTTTGACCGCAGTCCTTTGATCTGGCTCTCCATTCTCATGATATACTGAAAGTCCCTCTGCGTCCGCAGGTTCAGCACCTCGATTGACTGCGACATGTTCTGCACCTTTTGAAAAGATTGAAACAGCGCAGCATTGATTTTTCCGTCCACCACGAGATTAAAATGTCCTCCATGTTCAGCCGTTTAGTAGCCTACCATGCTCTAACTTCCCAAGGAACAAATCAACACTTTGACCTCCGATGTGATTGTCTTTTAACCATTCATGTGTGAGCTGAAAATAGCTCTGAATGGATTTTACATGGAGATGGGACTGTTACATGGCAGTTTTCTTGCTCTGTTTTCTCTCAGATTCTAAGCCTATATCAGTTATAATTCAAAACAAATTGTCTTTTTTTAATGCCATAGATGAACTACTGAATCTAGTAGGTTAGATAACATATTTCAGAGTTGATATTTGACACAGAAACATTACAGAGTCTCTCTCTCTGGTTTAACAAAAGCTCACTGGGTTTATGGGGCATGTGAACAAGAAGAAATGTAGTCCTTTCTCCTTTTCGAGCAACTAACTAACATTACTGGAGCACATCGCTGGCAAAGTGGCACAACACTCACACATTGTGTTCTGCATACTTTTCTGGCTCTGGGAACCTGAAATGGCCTCACTGAAGCCCTGGGGAAGCTTAGTACATTAGTGTCAAAGGCCCCAGTGAATGACAGAGAACACCCTTTGGCATACAACATTAAAATGTAGGCTAGAGCAATGTTTCCTTATATGGCATATTAATTGAGGAAAGTGGCTCCGGTGCCGTGCTATTTGTTTGTTTGTAGATGCATTAAATCGCAACTGTCATGGGGGAAAAAAATATTTAATTTGAAATTAAAAGTCATGTTTCTACTTCAACTCACAGCGTTGGCTGTTTTCAGGGCTAAATTTATGAGATCAATTTAAAATGCACCGTTCTAGTCAAAAGAAAAAAAAAATCCATGGTGGTAGAAAGATTCTTGATTTGTGGAGATAGACCCCTTTCTGACAGAAATAAGTCTGATAATACTGTTAAATCTTAACACCAGCCTTGAATGGTCTGTTTCCAAAAACGGGGGCACTCCAGTTCTGTAAAGGTGAGATGGAGAGCGTTCTCATCTTTTACAAGTAACCATTCAGCCGATGTCATCCATGTAATATATGCAGAAGTGGAAAATAGGGTTATAGACCTGGCTGGTGCAATCTCTCAGAGGATTAGGGCAACAAAGAAGCATGAATAACGATAGTAATCAATGCTATATGTCTATATGGATTTAGATGTGCTGGTTGCTTACAGTAAAAGTGTGTCTTAGAGAGCGAGTCTGTGCATTGTCACGCAAACAGAAATGTGTGCGGCTGCGTGCACATACCTTCTCCAGGAGCTGGCGGAGCTGTCTGCCTTTGGCATCTCTGGAGCACAGATTCTGTTCAGGTGCCACCACTGTGCAGATACAACGCCCATCTGCATCCTGTGCTGAGCTGTACACCTGCCACCCCTCCTTTGGCCGGATGGTCTGCATACAGAAACACAGGCACAGTCATAAATACACAGGCCACACATTTACAGACAGACACACTAAATAAATAACAGCGAGGATAATACTATCATGAAACTGATACACACAGCTGCTATGTTTTCTTATTTTTTTCCTCATGGGTCATCCATTCTTCTGCTTTATGCCCCCAACGCTTTGACAATAACCAATTCCACTGACTTATAAAAAGTCTTTGAAAGTGCTTTTGCTGTAAGATATTCCTCCACAGTATATCGTCTCGAGTGAATTTCCTCTTAAACAATAAATAGTGTTTCCTGGCCTTGATGAATAACCCGAGTGCTGAAATTCTTCTGTTTCTCCTCACTAGGCCCTACAATGCCTTAACTGAGTCCTGCTGGGAGACGCAGATAAACCTGATTTGTGGGAGCTTCTCCCATTCTTTATTACATTCAATATGCTCCACAGCACAGAGTGTAAAGCTTAAAGAACATAAAGTTATGCATCATAAGACAATGTAGCATATTTGAATGCAACACTATCAACTAATGTCAGAGTGTACACAGTAAAAACTAGTTTTGCTCCAAATATTGATCAAAGTGTCCTGAAATGTTGTTGATCAGACACATAAACCGCATCAGTATTTGAACAATACTGCTGTTTACTGTCAGCATGGGAAATTAACACAAGCCTCCAGCCAAGTACTGGCAACCTTCGACTGCGGATGGTAAATTTGTCTGCACTACCAGTGTCTTTGGCAGCCAACCAACTATTATTTGGATTTTGTTTTACATTCTGAAACTCAAATCTGGCTGAAGAGCAGCATGTGAAACATGTGAACTTTGGCATCCAGCAGCCTTTGAAACTTGCGGGTAGAAAAAGTGTCCTGTTTTCATAGTGCAGGCATCCTTTCCTTCTCCCATTCATCCTTGCCTGTCAGCCTGAGCAGTTTAAAGAGCGTTTGGAATCAGCCATGAAAGATCATGTCCCTTCTGAGCAGGCGAAGATGTAGCGTCAAGGAGAAAGCTCAGTCTTTGACTCATCATTTTCACCTACTGAGAGATTGCTTTTTTGTTTTTTAGGTAAAACGTGGACATATCATTTGACACTGTATTATTCTCATTAAAAGTTCTGCATTTTAAGAATGAAATCACTGTTTAAACATTTTATTAGTATTTTGCAATTGAGAATTTGTTATTGTTATTATTATATATTATATGTTATTGTACTACTATTTTAGTTTTTAAACACCTGAGTCCTCTGCCATAGCTTCTTTTCACTTTCTCATCTTGAAGTCAAAAATTAAAACCATACCTTCCATGCTATCATTCTCCTGAGCTTTCATTCTTTCCCCCAGCACAACTCTCTTATGTTGCCGTTATCAGATTGTAAGAAAATTGTTTCAGGTATTTTCAAAGCACTGCAGCCCTGCTCTTTGTCCACCTTGCTATTGGTTGCTGGTAAAGTTTGTAATCTAGGAATTAAGGCTTTTTCTACTGATGCCCTGATGATAAGTTGGTTCTGATTGGATTATTAGATAAAGCCACCAAAGCAGAATATATTGATCTCACTTTTACAATCTGTTATTAAATTATTCTAAAGAATGAAACTACACTGAAAAGCAGCAGAAGGAATAGTGATATTGCGTTGAATTATCTGGGGGTCATGTGTGGTACATTGTAGTAGTGTTAGAAATGATACTGGATGGGTTGACTGTAGCTGGAATGCGCCACTCTGTCATGGCATCATAACTGAATGGGATAAAAGAGGGGAAAAAAACACCCTCAGCTCTTTTCTTTCTTTTCTTTACTCTGCTTTGAAATACTCCTAAAAAGAAGCCAGTTTCACTAATCTGTTAAAACGGTCTTTCTCCTGTCTTTAGAGTGACGCACATCCTTTCCCCTCTTCTCACTCTCACATTTCCTCATATTAAAATGAATCTGTAGCTCAGCCAAGCCAGATGCACTCTCCAACAAGGCTTTTTTTTATTTGTGAGGAACTCAGCAGAAAGAGTTTTTCTCTCATTAAATAATTCAGACAGCTGGGTCCTCTTTTGTCTTTTGCCGTTCATTTAGACTTTTCCCACAGATCTCTGTACAGTTCCGAGTATTGACTCAGCCTGTAAACATTTCCTGTTTTTGTGAATAAAAAAAAAGAAACATTAATTCTGCACACCACTTTCAATCGTGGCAAGGTAACAGCGAAGCCAGTGCTTTGCAATCAAGACACTGGCACAGGGATTGTGCTCTGCATGGGTGGGATGAACCTAATCGACCATTGTTCTTGTCCAAATGGCTTGGTGATCTGCAAGCTGCTCCTCCTAATTTGGGACAGTGCTACCAAATGCATTTCCATTTCGGAAGCTTAAACTGGCAGGATAATCAAAACACATCACACTTAATATTAAAACATAGAATAACAAGCAACTATCTTGCCACAAAACTGTATAAGTAATAATGTGTATATGTAAAAATTATTGAACCATTTCAGCTAAAGTCAGTTTTGCAGAATGAGAAAGAGAGAGTTATATGCTGCTTGGCAATACTCCAGGATCAATATGAGTGCTATGTGGTTGATGTAGGCAATAAACATGAGTGCTGTGGGGGTGTCTCTTCCTCTACCACCACTTTAAATGCCCTATTTTTATTACAGATGATTTTTTTCTCCAAAACATATCTGCATATTAGTGATCATTTCTGCCAATACTGGAGTGTGTACAGGCTAGAAGTGAAGCAGACAAACATGCTAAATGCCTGGAAACTGAAATGACTCATTTCTCTGTTGCTGCTCATTCACCAACCTTTGTGCAGTGCTCCACCCTAATCAAAGACGCCCCCCAATGAAATGAACTTTAAAAACAAGGACACTGCATGGAACAGCTCGTGGTGAAGTTCATTCTGATCTTTTTATTAAAGAAATGTCAAGTAAACTCACCACTGATGGGCAGTATCCGAACAGCAGCAGGAACAGCAGCGGGTTCAGGACCAGGGACAGCGACCACATTCTGTCTGCTGGTACAATGTTTCCCTCCTCCGCTACTGGAACAACAACAAAAAAAAAATCACGCAAGTTTCTGCCCGTGGGCTCGCGCCACCTCGTCCACTACGCGCTGGTTAAAACCATGGCTTCCTTGGCAGAAGAGGGGAGCATCCAACCACTCGTCCCCGTTACGCATGCCATGTGGGCAGCGGGGAGAAACCTCGTCACTGCAAGGAAGAAAAAGTTTGTGGGGGCATGCACGCGGCGAAAACCCTCACTGCGTGTAGGTTATAGAGACCCTTCTTCACGGATATGACATCATCCAGCTGCCTCTCTTGACTTTTAATGAATCCAGTTTGTTGTGTGTGAGAACTGGAGGAACCACCGGCAGCTGTGGGGTGACAAAAGTTGCAGCTGGCAGTATTCACCAGAAAATAGGAGATAGAGGCGCGAGATCGGAGGCGGGCTGCTGCTGCTTTTTGAGCCCGAGTGCACGCGCAAAAGAGAGAGAGAGAGCGCGCAACAGAGACTGAGAGAGCGAGAGAGAGAGCAATCACAGTATAGCCTTTTTCTTTTTTTCTTTTTGTACAGATTATGTGTGGAAACATATGGCAAAGAATATTAGTGTTTCATTTCGGTGAACCACTTTAGTGTGTCGGTGCGATTAGGAAATTAAAGGTTCAGTTCACCATAATTACCTAAAAACTTGTCCCAGCTTACCGCTAATGTTATATGGCAGTCCATTTATGCCAAGAAAAAAAAGTTTCTTTCCGAATAAACTGGTTATGTGAAAATTACCTGTAGACAGGAGGTAATTTTAAACAGCATCATACACTTGCACATATATAAGTAAATTTATTTTTTCCTGTAGTTGCTCCTTCAATGTTTACCTTTTTTAACACTGGCTTCCCCTGGTCACCCCATGTTCTACATCACACCACTATGACCTGCGGGTAATTCCCTCAGGCAAAGTCTGCAGAGATATGGAAAGTGTACATAAAGTGCGCAAAATGTCGGCGAAACAGCCCTCATGCACTTGACAGTTTGACAGTTGGGCAGCCCTAAAACCTCACAGACTCACCACCCTAAACCCTGTTGTGCACTGTTACACACAGTTTCAAGGAGACATGAGCCCTGAAACCATAGCAAACTTTACACAAAATTTAAACTAGGCAAAAATGTTTAGTGTCATATAGTTTTCATGCATGGAAAAATGATTCACTAGTGCCCCCTGAGTTGCAGCTCCTATGCAAGGTTTCACCAAATTGTACAGAAATTTTGTGGCAGATTATTATGTCCAGACCGACAAAAAAAGCCACAGGGAGCAATGCCCTAAACCCAACCGGAAGTTGCCCATTTTGAATTAAATTGTCACTTTTGGCGATTCACAGGTTCTGTACTTTAAAGAACCCCTCCTACAAAATTTTTCCGATTGACTTCAGATTTTTGGTCTGAAATAAAGTTGTGCTATCTGTGAGTTTTTGTGAAAGGGCGTGTCAGTGGTGTGGTGTTGAAAATCGATAATTCGGCAACGAACAAAAAAGTCTTATTACTTTATTGTATATGCTCAAACTGTACCAAACTTTACATGTTTTACAACTGTCCCGCCCTGGACGCATCTACATGCCAATATTCACTCTATGTCATAGTGCCACCTCGCGGTAGAGTCTGTAATGATTGGCTGTAGCTGCGCCACCTTTCTGTATCATCTGCACATGGGCAGACTTATTGCTGATAATAGATAAATAAACTTTATTGTCATTTCACCTGGTAGTTCAATAAGCAGAGCAACAAAAAGTTGTTTCAGTAGAGTTCAGTACACACTAAGCAGCCAAAACTCACAACAATGTTTCATACCGCAGCTGATGCTTCTGTACCTCCTCCCAGATGGCAGGAGGGAGAAGATGTGATGAGATGGGTGGTTTAAGTCCTTAATGATGGAGATGGCTCTGTAAATGCAGCTTAGGTAGGGGAGTGGAGCACCAATGATCTTGCTGGATGTCTTCACGACCCTGTTTAGTTGTTCTTTTTCATGGGCCGTACAGCTTCCAAACCAGGAAGTGAGACAATAGGTCAAGATGGTTTCAGTGGCGCCCTTGTAAAAGGTAGTGAGGTGACGGGAGACATGCTTTCCTGAGTCTCCGAAGGGGGTGAAGCCGCTGCTGAGCTCTTTTGATGACGGCTGTGGTGTTGATAGTCCAGGTCAGGTTGTTGGCTAAGTGTACTCCCTTAGCCAACAACAAATACCCCAATACAATAAAATAGGATAAAAAATACAGAACAATAAAAAAATGTATATAGAAACATAAACATTAATAAAATGGTTATTTAAAAAAAAAAGATTATTCAGCTGCAATGAATAATAACTTCTATTTACAAAGCTGTACTTATTTGTCCATTTGTTGTACTTATATGTTCAACTTTTGCTGCACTGAGATGTGATTACCTACCTGCTGCTTCTGCTGCGCCATTACTTTGTATTATTTATGTTATTGTCTTCTTCTTCAAATCCTGCCTTCTTGTCTGATGAACTTTGACCTACACCGAGCCCCCAACCCCCACTCATGCCACACCCCTTGAGCTACAGTCCGCAGCAGCACCCTTCTCAGAGTAAGAGTCTGTGTCTTGAAATAGAGCAGTTAAAATCTTTCAAGGATATTGTATTGATATGGTATGATATTCTTACTGTATTGCAAGACACCATGCTATGTTAAATAAAAACAGGGTAAACACTCCTGATTACCTAGACCTCATTACCATATAGGAATCTAAAATCTGTCATATTACTGAAGCAAATGACACAAAGCTTTCTGTAGCGTAGTATTGTTTTAATGTTCCTCTCTGGCCAAAGCCATTAGTCACATACTCTCATATGACACAATATTTTCAGTGCTTAAAATAATTGAGACAAGGTATTAAATAATGCGTAGCTGCTCATTATGCATACAAATAGAGTTCACAGTTTGTGCAGGAGTAAGACACGCAGCTATTTTGTCAGCTTTCACACTCAAGCTGTTTTACTTCAGTTGAGATTTATATGAGACCACTGGCAAATTTTGGTCTGAACATAAACCTTCAGACATTTGCTGTTTTGAAGTAAATATGTTTGGCGAAAAAAAGTGCTACTGGCTACGTTTGTTTGACATTTATCTGGTTTCTCTTTGCCATTTTTTCCCACTGTTGTTCAATAATGTTTTCTGTTGCATTTGAAGAAGTAACTGATAAAACTACATGACCTTTAGAGAGAAAAATGTAGCAGTAAAACATTCTAAGTTTTAATGGGAACACTATCATTGCATCAACTAGGAATCTTTTTTCAAATGAATCTCTTTTGCTAAAATAATTCTTAGTTGTTAGATTATAACATTTATCTCATCTCTGAAATATGCCGGGAAAATTGTTCACCTAAAGAGCTATTGACTTTAGCCCAATACATGGCTTCTGTACTTTGATTGCTATTCAGACCATTCTCTAGCGGATGAGCTCACAGGCTGCAGCAAGAGCATGTCCTTGACTGCAGTAGGAAGCCTTTTCACTTTTGCATGCCAATCAACGTTGCACCTTTTCTAAGGAAAATGGACAGATTGTTCTTTTTGTCTTTGTTAAGACGTTGGAAAGCAGCAAAGGAGACAAGAGGCTGTAAATCTCTCAGGTCAGGTTAGGTGAGTTGGTGCACACATTTGTCATGGCGTGGGTGAAGTGGTCAGCTTTTAAGCCATCTCTGGGAACTTCAGGCAATGCTAATGTAAGCACAGCTAGTATAAACTAGAGACCTGAGGAGTAGGGTAGTTTCCAGGCTCTCTCCAGATCAGCTGTCAGCAGCAGGTTGGGATGAGGCGGTGGGTTGGGCAATGAAGCACAGTACTGTTGGAGTGTTTCCCAGTGAAACTGTTTGAACAGGGAATACTTGAACTCAAGGAGTGTCTCTGACAGGAGAAGGAGACATAACTTTCTTGGCGCACTTGAACAAAGGGTTTTCGTGAGCCATGACCTGCATTCCTGATGAGCTTCTCTCCAGCAATAACAGTGGCTGCTGCTTGCTTTGTGGCTCAACCCAGTTCAAATTGGTTATTACACATGATGAGCCCAGGGTATCTTTTGCAGTTCAAATACACTTTCAAAATTGCTACAAAGAATGTATTTACTGAAGTGCTGAAAAACATCAATAGACTACTGAAAAATGTTAATGCTGTAAACACAGCAAATGTATTGTGTCTGTAAGAATTCTGCCTTTCAAGAAAATATCATCAGAGAGAACAAGCAATTATTTTGCTACAAAAGAGACACCAGTCAATACAGGCTGCTTCCAGTGTTCCTCTGCAAATAGCTGAAAATAACGTGGCATGGTAACAAGTCATTTTTATCTTCCTTTATCCAGGAAAGTATACACTTCTATTTGATCTTTTGATTCAGTTACAAACTTTTACACCTAGTATTTTTACAGTACAATTGCCGTTTTCTACACTTGATAAATACCTTGGTCAAGAGCAGCCTAATGTCAGTTAGCTGCCCAGATTTTGCCCCCGTCTATCCAGGTTCATCTAGTTCATCTATCCAGTGAGATTTGCGGTGTTGAAGTAACACTATAAGGGTCTAAAGATATAACGTGTTGTATGCAGTACAGATTTTAAAGCCTTTAAAAGCCAGTTCTGATTTTGGGCTAATCAAATTAAATTAACTATCTGAAGACTGATTAAGTTAAAAGGGGAAATCATCATCATCAGTCATCTGAATTGTACTGGTAATTAAGAGAAACATTTTTGATCGCTAATGTTACTGTCATACAACCTGGTTCTTGAATGTGCCCATGAATTGACTTTAACAGACCAAAAAAAAAAAAAAAACTACATAGAAAAACCTTGATTTATTGTTAAGTTCTATCAAATGGCCAACTTTCTCAATTAGCTGCAATACTATGCTAATTAGCTACACTAGCTATATCTTTTAGCTAACATAATAGGATTGCCTGTGCACCCTACATTTGCCATATATGGATGAGCTTGGACACATGCCATTTTAATTTAAATTTTATTACATTTCTGGATGTTGCAAATTGAGTACAAAACACAGTCCTCAACCCACATTGTTATATGTAAATATATATGTGTGTGTATATATATTTTGTAAAACAAAATGTACAATTGTAAGAGAATATATGTGGTGAGGTAGCTCAATTGTCTGTTTGTTTGGGGTTTTTTGTGTGTGGGTCATTGGTGTTTCTTCCAATTTAAACCACCCAAGTAAGACAAACCGACTCTGAATTGTCCATTGCCTTAAATCTGATTGTCTGTCTGTCCATGTTAGTCCACAGAGTGGAAACTTTCCAGGGTGCATTCTTGTCCTCTGGCTTAATACAATGGTCCAGCTCTTCATGACACTGGAAAGGATGAAATGGGTAGAGAAAATGTGTAAGAACAGAGGAGGGAGAATTTAACAGTTCCACAATATAGACAAAAATAAAAAT